CTCTCTCTCTCTCTCTCTCTCTCTCATGCAGGTAAAAGAGGAAACTTATCTCCATAATGGGGTTTTAGGAGAAACGATTTGCGGAAAATAATCAAGTTGCACAGGGTCGATTGAACGTTAATTGACCTTAGCAGTATCTGGAAACTCAATTTTATCGTAGACGCAGTACTATTACAGTTTCTATTGAAAGGAACAAATAATCAGAGTTATAAGATGGTCGAAGTGATCGCTCTTGTACAGATCATTATCGCGATGTAATCTTTCAAGAACAGACAGACGATGCTTCTAAAATATATTCAGTTTCATCGTTTCAATTATTTTTAAATAAATGCGTGTGTTGGATATTGCATTTCAATGATCCGTATTCACTTTAATGCAATATTTTCCTTCGTACAAACCAGGGATTCGGTTACTCTGTTCTAACGATGACAATAAAGATCCTTGCAACAGCAACAGTAATTTAACACCGATTCCACGCTTTATAAAAAGTGATAGAAAAGAAGAGAAATGCTTGACAGAAGTAAAACATTACAAGAATTTTTGCAAAGCCTTCTTCTTTTCAAGAAATCATGACGAATATTATATTAAATTTTGGCATCAACCGTTGGAATCTTTTTAAATAAAATGAGTCGTTGATGATTCTCGAACTCTAAGTAATTGAAAATATAAAAGCTCTCTCAGGTTAAATCAAATTATTCATACTTCAGTGAAAGACACGATTAACAAAACTTTATTTTATATTTACTTTTAAATGAGCTTTACTTCAGCAATATTTTAGAAAGTTTCTTATGTATCCATTGAGATTAAAAGTTAAAGACTAAAAATCTGATAAAAAGGGATAGCGTTTCATTTAACTTTCATCGAGAAAAAATCAATTGAACATAAGATGCAAATTAATGACTTTTAACAGAATACCTTTTAGAAATTATTTTAATTGAGAAAATATTTTATTGGATTTAATTGCAACGAAACAATTAAAATGATGCGAGCAAGCGAGCGAGCGAGCGAGCGAGCGAGCGGACAAGAGAGAGAGAGAGAGAGAGAGAGAGAGAGAGAGAAGACTTAATTGAAACGCTATTGTAACATTTGCAAAAGCGTCAGTCGTAATAATATGTATATAGAAGAAAAAAATTGACTTTGCATTCCTTCATAGTTGTTTTGTTGTGTTACGTGGTAATTGTGTTTAGTAATAGAATCGAGGTTTCGCTCGAAAATTTTTCCGCGTTCTGCTTTCTCACAAAGCAATTTAATTATTCGCGCACTAGTGGTTAAGCTATCGCAACGCGAAAGTCAATTTACGAGTTAGTTTAGTTTTCCCCGAGGCCGTGCTTGTTGCAAAGCCAATAAGTAAGTATTGCTGAAGTAAGTATTACTAATTCACTCGTAAAGATACATGTCGATTCTCTCGTATTCAGCAAATTTTACGAATTATTCTCATTTCTTTGATGTGTTTGTGAATTCACTTCGTTGAAGGATTAAAATGAATTACTTTAATATAATATACACTAAAAATCACATCAGTATATGAGGATACGACACACATTATATCTAGAATAGATGCTGCACGTATCCAAGAGATCTTTCCGACTATTTCAAATAGCAATAAAATACTGTTACTCTTCTGTAAAATATTTCAGCTTCTAAATATTGTTAACATTTATTTTCACAATATTTACATTTATATTTGAATACGAAATAAAAAATATAATATAAAACTGGAAACAGATAGTCGGGACGTGATTGACCGGTTTTATAAATGTTTATGTAGGTCACCAAATATAATACCGCTAGATTTTGTTTTGTGCAGTTGTACAAAATATCAAACGTTATTGTGCAACAACAAAAGAAAACAAGATTTTATATCGCTTGTCGACTGATAATTGTAGGGATGTCATGTCATGTTAAACGTAATATCTGCCCCATGAAATTGTTAAAAATTCTAAGTATTTATTGAAATAACTGTTAAGTTAAAATATGATATATTATCATTACATTTTCATTATTAAAAATGTATTATTTATAATACAAATACAGAAAGTATATCAAATAAATGCAATTAAAAAATTGTATTTGAAGATATATAATTTTATGTTATTCTAATATATTTTTAAAAATTAATTTTTTTTCCTTTTTAGAATGGTTAAAAAACTTTAACAATCTTGAAATGATAAAAAATGTTTGAACAATTTACCACATTTTGTCGGATCTGTTTTATATAATAACATATAATGTTTTTTTCGCCAAAGATAGTATTTTCAATAAATATATATAAAGCTAATAAATATATACATATATTGTACATACATACGTTGTATTTCATATTTGCGATACTTAACTGAAGGCAAGCATGCTATCGAATGTTTCAGGAAACGCACAATATACCGAAATTATCTTCATTCAATGTTGATGGATTAAATTCCAA